AAGCGCAGAATTGGTAGAAGAAGAATGTCCTGGTAGAGAAACCTCAGAGAATGGTTTGAATGCAGCTCAACTGAACTCTGAAACTAAACTGAGAAGAAAAAGAATATGAGCAAAAATAGTATAAAAAATTTACTGGGACATGAAAGGTCCTAAGAACAAATCCTACAGCCTACAGATTTTTGGTAAATCGATGTTTTCTGTTTTCCCCCCTACGTGGATAGGTTTTAGGTCTAAATCCGCGAGTAGGAGTGGCAAATCACTTTGGATTTTTTTTGTTGTACCAAAATTGACATTGTCAGCAAAATTCAGATTGTTCATATGAGTTTTAAAGGTTCAGCCGCATTTTCTTCCCTGACTGGGGTATTACTAAAAATGTTTAATGTTAAAACGTATTTACTTACAGTGAAGTGAAAAGACAGCAAATATTTGATTTCACGCAAAAAGCGTGTTTGTATCTGTTGATACGTATTTCGACCTAATAGGTCTCATCAGAACAGTTATTCAAAGGTGTTCTCAACGTGAAAGATCAATATTTTCTGTCTTTTAAGAAGCAACACTAAGATGGCTTCAATACAGACGCAATAGCGACATTTGACAATAAAACCGTAAAATAGTTTTGAAACACAATTCAGATTTATGCTTTAATTTGTGCTTTCTAAAAATTGCAAAGCAAAACAGACGTTGATAAAGGTGTTAAAAGAGACGTGGGGAATCTAAAATTTGCATTCCACGACTACTAGAAACCAATTCGCTAATAGTCTAGGCGGGATCTGTTTTGGATTGGAAATTTTCGAAGGGAAGCTATTTTTTTGCTGGAATCCCTTCAGGATGTGCCCATTATCGATAATCACGATATGCGCCAGTCGCAAACCCTGTGCTAAATTTTTTATTTAACAAAATCTTAAAACAATTGAAAATTTCTCATTTATTTGCACCTATTTTCATTTATAATTCGGAAAATATTGATCCTAGAGAAAAAAAAAAAAAAAGTAGTTAAAAGTTTCGCTATTAAATTTTACACAATATTTTGTTAGCTAGAAATTAAAAATTTAATGGTTATTGTTGAAAAAAAAGCAATAATTGGAAAAAAAAGTACAAAAAAATGAAGTTAATCCTTTAAATGTTTTCGACTCTCTAAACTTGACTTACAAGTTCCATATTCCGCCTAGAAAAACTTTTTAATATCATTAAAACGTGTGCTAAATTTTGTTAAGATCGGTCGAATAGGTTTTGCATAATAATTTTGCAATCCTGCCTACTGGAAAAAAAACGCAAATTTTCAAATTCATAGTAAACCCTAAATAAGGCCCTCAGATAGTTGCAATTTTTTTTACATATAAAGGAAGTCTCAAACTTTCAAACGCTTTTTGTAAAATTTAAATCGGTTTACTAGGAGACCCTAGAAATTTTTTTAAAGTTATAAACATTTTTTAGGCTTATAAACAAATTAAATAACTTTGCGAGATTTAAACATATCAATTTCAAAATATATACACTTAAAGAACATTAAAAGACGCTTTTTTTAAAAAACAAAAAGATACATTCGGCTTACTGGTTGCCGAGATACTGAAGGTCAAAGTTGGTATACATTTGCCGTGTAACCATAAGTGATAGAGGGCTCGTTTTTAAACAAATACCCTCGTCTTGCCAAATACTTTTTATATGAAAAGTTTTACGTAATGCGCTTCATGGCAACATCTATAAAAAAGACAAATAAAAAACCGTTTTCGCGTAAAATGTCGCTCGGAATGCATGAGAGGTGGTGGTGAGGGACATTCACTTCAAATGTGAATCGGCGAGTATCAAGTAGGGGACCATCAGTTTGTTTAATTTCGGGTTTTGAAATATAAACAAAAAGTAAAGTGCTCCAAAATCTGTAAGGGCTTGTAAAGTAAATTGTTACTTTTAGTAAACAAATATGTATTTATAAGTTGTTAATAAATAATTTGAATTGTTAAAACGAAGGAAATTTTTTTTGTAAAAATCAAACATTTTAAAATAATTAACATTAAAAATAATTTATTTTTGCAGTTTTATCATAATAATGACATTATTTGATTTGAGAATAAATTTTGATTCGAAAGTGATGTGTATATTGTATATTGACGTGTTATTATACTGCTGTGTAATGCTCGAAATTGTTTTTTTTTTGAGCTTGCAATTTATACATTGAAGTAAATTGTTACTTTTAGTAAACAAATATGTATTTATAAATTGTTAATAAATAATTTAAATTGTTAAAACAAAGGCGAATGAAACAAAAATTTTCTTTTCATAAATAATCTATACTTTGACTCAATCTTCAATAATTTTTTTAAGTCTTTTTTAGTTTTTTACATTTGCTACTAATATTTCTGAATAATGAGTCAGGTAGTAATACTTGCTCAGTTTGTATTGGCTCAAGACCATTTTGAGTTAGTTCCCACCCCCACTGAGTAGCATTCAGGTTATTTCCAAGCCACTGCTGTACTTGGAAATATACACGAAGCGAGTGTTGCTCAGCTGCAGATTGTGTAGGTGGCAGCATGGACAATTGAAAATTTTTATTTTTGCAACCTTTTTTAAAGCACAAGTAGCGAATTTTATTCAATGTAAAATCACACAGTGGCCCATATACAATGCCGATATAATTTTACATCCGCTGCGTTTAATTTCTTCCTTAGTGGCACTTTTTTCATTAAAATGGTTGCTTCTTGCCATATATCATTATTTGTTGGAACCAATTTAACAATTTTGTTTTTTTCCTTGATAAAAAAATGCAGAGGTTGTATCACAACCAGAATATATAAACTTTTTATTAGTTTTTGAAATACAAAATATTTTACTGTTAAAACTCACGGATTTGACAATATAACTACTATATAATAGCGTTGAACATAATATGATCAAACCACTGAAAAACGTGTTCAGCACGCCTTTAATACAAGCCCTTACAGATTTTTTGGAGCACTTTACTATTTGTTTTTATTTCAAAACCCGAAATTAAACAAACTGATGGTCCCCTACTTGATACTCCGCCGATTCACATTAGAAGTGAATGTCCCTCATCACCACCTCTCATGCATTCCGAGCGACATATTACGCGAAAACGGTTTTTTATTTGTCTTTTTTATGGATATTGTCATAAAGCGCATTAACGTAAAACTTTTCATATAAAAAGTATTTGACAAGACGAGGGTATTTGTTTAAAAACGAGCCCTCTATCATTTATGGTTACACGGCAAATGTATGCCAACTTTGACCTTCAGTATCTCGGCAACCAGTAAGCCGAATGTATCTTTTTGTTTTTTTAAAAGAAGCGTCTTTTAATGTTCTTTAAGTGTATATAATTTGAAATTGATATGTTTAAAGCTCGTAAAGTTATTTAATTTGTTTATAAGCCTAAAAAATGTTTATAACTTTAAAAAAATGTATAGGCTTTCCTAGTAAAACCGATTTGAATTTTACAAAAAGCGTTTGAAAGTGTGAGACTTCCTTTATTTGTAAAAAAAATTGTAACTATCTAAGGGCCTTATTTAGGGCCTACTATGAATTTGAAAATTTGCGATTTTTTTCCAGTAGGCTGGATTGCAAAATTATTATGCAAAACCTATCCGACCGATCTTAACAAAATTTAGCACACGTTTTAAACATATTAAAAAGTTTTTCTAGGCGGAATATGGAACTTGTAAGTCAAGTTTAGAAAGTCGAAAACATTTAAAGAATTAACTTCATTTTTTTGTACGTTTTTTTCCAATTATTGCTATTTTTTCAACAATAACCATTAAATTTTTAATTTCTAGCTAACAAAATATTGTGTAAAATTTAATAACGAAACTTTTAACCACTTATAATTTTTTTCTCTAAGATCAATATTTTTCGAATTATAAATGAAAATAGGAGCAAAAAAATGAGAAATTTTCAATTGTTTTCAGATTTTGTTAAATAAAAAATTTAGCACAGGGTTTGCGACTGGCGCATATCGTGATTATCGATACTGGGCATATCCTGAAGGGATTCCAGCAAAAAAAATAGCTTCCCTCGAAAATTTCCATTATGGTCTGAATTTCTACAGATGCCGCCTAGTCTATAAGAATTTCTGCTTAGTTGAAAAGACGTGTCGTGGAATGCAAATTTTAGATTCCACACATCTCTTTTAACACCTTTATCAACGTCTGTTTTGCTTTGCAATTTTTAGAAAGCACAGATTAAAGCAGAAATCTAAATTGTGTTTCGAAACTATTTTACGGTATTTACTTACATTTATTATTTAAATATTCAATTATCTAGGTTTTTCGTTAATCAATTTTTTGGTTATTAAACATCATCAAGTGTGTGTTTTGTTTTTTTTTTTATATCTTATTAAGTACCAATTTTGCAAATTGGCGATAGTAGTACTTGATTCATTGACCTACGTGGATGTCCTCGACAAGAAAAATAATCTGTTTAATTAGTTTACATTCTCATTACTAGTTTAGCGAACACTTGATATTTTTTGCACATAAAAAAATTTAATTTAAATATTGTCTCCCGTTTAACCAGTTCAATATTTGACCAAAACTAATTAATGTTTTTATAGATTCTTAATAATATTTAATGTAGCCAATAAAACTTTAATTTAATAAGATATAAAAAATAAAAATAATACGTGTAATAACACACATACACATATTTAGAGAAAGGTTCCATTTTAATCTTCCAGGACTGACGCTCGGTTTCTGTGCACCGATAGTGGCGGCAGACTATGAGTCCTCATACCTTTCTTGCATGTGAAAAGGCTGATATATAGTACACATAACCTTTTTATATGATAACAATCAATAAATCAATAAAAATAATATTGAAAACTATACAAATGACTACTTTTATTACTATAGAATTATTTGTGTTTACAGGTTTTATTCGTTTACCACTTAAAATAACTTTTCCCTTTTCTCTGACTGTTTTCATAATCTCCTTAAACTAAACTATTACGTTCATTCGTCCGTTCTATTGTGTGATTAAAACAATACTTTACTTACTTGAGGCATGTAACCCACCCTTGGGCCTGGTATACCGCTGCCAGGTTCCCCTGGTTTTCCTCCTAGGACCCATACTTCACCCCCATCGATTTTATTGCGACCAACAATACTGTTGAGCAAGGTTGTCTTTCCACATCCACTTGAACCTAATAAGCCGTATCTAAAAGATAAATTTATATAAAAGATGGTTAAAAACAAATTAAATAAAAGCGTATTTTAAATATTAATTTAGCTTTACAATAAATAAATAACCATTAATCCAGGTTATTATGTGTAATAAGGGTAGTCTTATACAAAAAACTAATGTGTAACGATATTTGTTTTGTGTTTACTGTATTTTCTATTAGTACAATTATCTTGAAAATTAAATGATTTAACTTGCTTTTCCTACTTACATAACTCCCCTCTCCACTTTCATGGATATTCCTGACAAAATTTCTTTTTGGCCATACTTCTTGACTACTCTGTCGACATAAACAGCATAGTTGTCATGCATCGTCTGAAATAGAATATTTTATAATTACTAGACTTTGTTTCTTAATAGTTGAGAACACGCTAAATAGTAAGAGCTTGTTAACCAGTTGTAAACCAGAAAGGTGCAGTGTACAATTCACAGAAAGAATCTATTGATCATAATATAAATAATAACTTTATCTGTAGTACAAGTATAAAAAATTTAATGTTTAGCTCGATAAGTTCTAATTCTGAAAATCTGATTATTTTTTTACCGAATAGAAGGTCAAATGGTTGGAGTTTGAGTCTTAGAGATAGGAAATATTGCCTCGGTATTTGCTATTCTAAAATTCAGAGAAACGGCAGCAGTTACCATAATAGAACATCCCAGAAAATCCTACTCTTATATCCTCGTTCGTGACCTCTGAACAATGTGTGGCATGCAATGGGTCTACATATGTAGCTAACGGGACGAGGTGAAGAAAACTGGTGGCACAAAACTGGAACAAATCCACTAAGGTTTGGTAATTCTACTAGAACAGCCCCTTACCGGTAGGACTTAACAGAGGACGACTTGGCAAACGAAAAAAGATTATGAATTTTGATACATGGAATATGAAAGCATTGCATACTAAACAGAAGGAGGATTTAGGTGAGCTAAAATGCTTCTAAATAGACAAAAAGAAGGCAAGGAAGGAAACAGATAAATCAGTATGTATATCTATATAGTGATGTAAATAGAAAAATAGAATTAAGAAATTACTAAAAATGACCACGATGAAAAACTAAGTCAACTTTTAGATAATAGTTAGCATTAGATTTTCTGCTGCTAGCTATCTGCTTTTTCTTAATGTAATTAAGGAAGACTTTAATGGACACACAGGCAGATGAATGTAAGTGACAATGGAGATAGGCTCGTCGAAATGTGTCAGCAATATTTATTGCGTATACAGAAAGAAGTTTACAAACATAAAGACATTTACACATATATGGACTCAGCCCATACTCCAGCAAAAATCAATAATGGGCTATATTATATCCAGACAGACTTTTATACTGTGTCAAAATTTACATATGCGCAGAATCTGGAACAGACCATTATCTTGTAAAGGCCCAAATTAGCTACCCATTAGCTGCCCACTCTGAAAATCCAGTAGATCCGTATTATCGAGACATTTTTGCGAAAAAGTACAATATAAATAGTTTAAAAGATGAGTTTACCGTATTTCTCTCCAAAATGATACTAAACTTAAACTTTAACAATGTGGTGTATTCGTCTGCCTTTAATACGTATCAAAAAAAGAATTTTTAAATGAAACAACTATGGAAGCCTTGGAAGAATAAATTTTAGATCGAAGGAATACAAAACAAATGGTGGAGCGAAAACATTAACGTAAAAGAAGCAGAAAAACGGGCAAATAGCATACAGTTAATGAGAAAAGATACAAAAGAACAAAAATACTACACAAGATGTTGTAAGAAGTTCAAAAACCGGTGCTAAAGGCAATAAATGAAACATGGGACAATAAATGTAAACAAATAATACAGAACATAGGTTTTAAAATAGCAAGCGAACAATAAAATTCCTAAGAACGGATAGAAAGGAAAAAGTTCATATCAGCCCAATACCACTACAAGATTGTAGAGATTATTATCAAATCTATTAACTGAAGATCGTCTAGAATTTCTTACTGGGGATAATGACGGTTATCTAGACAGAGACATCTTTTTTAGAAGAAAACTTAATAATACTAACTGAAGTAAAGAAACTCCTAATGACAATGCTATGGAAACTATAAACAGAATTCTGCAGAAGGAATAATCGAAAGATTGGAAACACCTATTGGCACCAACAAATAGAAGATAAAAGGTAAGTAAACGTTTATAGCTGAAGAAAGAAATGCTTAATTTCTTTAATAGATTATATGGTCTATAAAAAGAATTAACACGGTAATACAAAAAATTAAATCAAGAAGAGAAGCAGAAAAAAAATCACAGCGTATGCTAGTCGTAGAAGGATGTATAGTAAGAGCAGGAGAAGAGAAGGTAAAACTGAGTAAATAAAAATTAACAATATACAAACTAAATAAGAGAGAAATACAAAAAAATACCAATACGAAACAAACCAAAAATTAGATGAAAAAATGAATAAATCTCAAGGATAAGTATAAAATATAAAAGAATGTGAAAGAGTCATGAAAATTTTAACAACCATTTTAAGAGAACAGAATGGTAGAGTGAAGAAATTAAAATATTAATAAATGAAAAAAAAACTGTATCGGTGAACTACAATCAAAACCTTGTAAAACGCGATAAGAAGTAATATGTTACAAAAAGAAACATAGCAAAAATGTAGTCAAAATGGCAAAAAGAGAATGATGAGAAAAATTTGGAAGTAGCTTGAACTAAGGATATAGAATCAATAATAGCAATTTAGAACCCGCATTAAGAAGTTAAAAGGCAACAAAACAAAAGAAATAAGAGCAATAAAAGACAAAAACAGTCAACTAAATACGAAGAAAACAGAAATATTGGAAACGGAAAAAACATTATACAGCAATATTTGGCTGGCAGAAAAATACTTAACTAGTAGAAAGCTTACCACTTACCATAAATAACAATAGAGGAAATATACAAAGCCATAAATAGATTCAAAACAGCAAAACATGTAAGAAGGACATGGAACTGTGGATAATTGGCAATGAAACTTGGAAAAGTCAAAAGATGACCAAGGAATGGAAAAATGATTTAATCGTACCAATCCGAAATTGGCTATAAACTATATACATCAATTGAGAAAAGACTAAGGGAGTACGTTGTACAAAAACTTGAAGAAGAGCAGGCAACAGAACGAGGAAAAGTACAAGTAAGAGGCCAAAGATCCAATGATTTCAAAATAAACAAAGAAGTCTAACAGGGGGATCGGATCGAGGAAATAGGAAGAAATAAAGGGTAAACTATTGAAAAATTAAAGATGATGGCCAGAACTAAAATTTCATGGAAAAAATTATATGAACAGGTTTTCTTGTTGGTTGTTTTAAAAAGGTTTTCAATATTTTTCTTCTGCAGTTTAATCTTTTCTTGCAAACAAATAAGCGGTTTCTTTGGTTTTTATTTTTCCTGTTAGTTTCTTTACTCTCCTATATAAATTAAAACTGTCATATATCTTGAAGATTTTCTATTTATTTTTTATTTCACGTATGTGTAATCCAATTTTATTTTGTATTTCGATCATTTTTTTAAGTTTGTTTTGGATTCCTTTGTATTTTTTTGGCGCTATTTTATATTTTCTTGGGGTATCCATGGGAATTAAGATTTTCTCTGTCACTAGTTCTTTCTTTAAGATGTTTGAATGATGCTGTTTTACCACGATTTTTTCACAGATATCCACGTGTTATTTATATTTTTCTATTTTATTTTCAGGTGTATTTTATATTTTTTCATTCATTTCTGCTACTAGTTTTTCTTTTATCTCGTTCTTTATCCCATATTTAGATTCCTTACGTCTATTATCTCGGAAGTCTACTTCTTTTAATTCCTTTTATCTTATTTTTATTTTAGCAGTGTATAATCTAAATTTTAAATTCTGGGTTCAACAAAAAATATTGCATTCATAGGTTATTGGCCGAACATGACGATCACCTTGTTGTCAATTAAACTCTATTTGGAAAATAAAAGCGGTTTCACATCAAATTATATCATTAGTGGTTAAAATACCAGAAGTTCTGCCCTAAAACAGGTTTGAGCAAGACGAATATATTACTATAGAATTATAAAAATGAAATATTTTGCGACTAAATCTTTAAATTCACCTGTATTTTAATTTGATTCGTATATTTTAAACCGTTTGTAATACTAATCACATTTTTATTAAAGATAACAAAGACAAGCAGTATCAGGTATTCTTTTTTTTTATTACGACTGTTGGATTTATATTAATGCTTTTCTACCTCGTGTTGAGTTATGTCGTGTTACAAGAAATCAGAGCTGGGATTTCCGAATTTTTTACTTTTCAAAGGAAGACAGAGTCAACGTAGGTAGAAAACGTTATCTTGATAATCACGATACATGTAAGAAAACTAAGTTGAACATATATATAACAATATAATTATACCAATATTATTATACGCAACAGAAACATTGACAAAGATGAAGAAGACATACGAATAGTCGAGAGAAAGACTATGAGAATCATACTGTAACCAGAAGATATCGTCACCATAGTAGTGAAGAATTAGATGGTTATGTCACATTTGGCAAGCAAGAGATGAAGTAGTGACTTACGCGTTTATAGAATGGAATCCAGGAGAAAAGAAGAAAGGGGAAGACATAAATCAAGGTGGATGCAAGAATTTGAATAAGATTTATAAAACGTAGAAGCAAGAGAATGTTGGGAAAAAAACTAGAGAAAGGAAAAATGGAGAGGGATCGTTACTAAGCATTTATACTGGTGTTGTACTACTTTTTTCTTCTTTCGTCACATCGATTCTCTCTCTCTCTTTCTCTCTCTGGTCGTTTTCCCATTACTGCGGATACCAGTTTTCCTAACAATATTTCTCTATTGGTCTCTATCTTCATCTGTTCTGAGAAGAAGAATGGGTTTCCAGCTGAATTCTTAATTTGGTCGGATCATCTAGTTAGTGATCGTCCTCTTGATCTTCTCCCCTAAAACGTTTTCAGGAATAATTCAATTCTTCAAACTATTATCACCTGTTGTGGACAGCCTTTTTTAATATCGAGTTGATTTAGAATAGAAACGTTTGTCCTATGAGTTAAGGTATGCGCAATCTTCTTTTCCAGTACCACATCTCAAAGGCATCAATTTTTTGGCACTCGCGTCTGCGAAGAGTTTAAATCTCTGCCCCGTATAGAAATATTGAGAATACAAGGGCGTTCATCATTCTAACTTGACATTTTGAGAGATAGATTTGTCTTTCCATCGTGACAAGCTTTTGAAAGTTTTTGATTTTATTATTGAATATGACGATTTTGAAAGTGATGATATCTCGATCATGAGCAATCGGTTTGAAAACTTTATTAAATGATTTCTCCTTTTAACATACATAAATGATATTCAATGTTGTTCAAAATCAATTAACTGACATTATTCATTCCAAAAAGAGAATATCAAAATTGGTGGACAATCTCAGAGATTTTCGTAGTGATAGTGATTTCCAGTATATATGCTGTGACGTTTTGGACTCGCTTCATATTTCCGAACCCCCCAAAAACAGACAAAGGCGTGACACAGAAAAAGATCTTGAAAAACGAGTATATTTTGAAATTTTGGATACTATTACTATGCAAAGAGATACTCGTTTTTCAAAGTTTGAAGATTTGCAAATGTTTGACTTCTTTGACGATTCACAATTTAAAAGTTACGCCAAAGAATTTCCAAGATATTTATTAGACAGGTTGATTAAAAATTATCCATCATTCTTTAATAAAATAAAATTAGAAAATGAATTAAAAGTTTTACATGCTCATCCAGAAGAGAAGATTATAGTGCTGCTGAATAAAGAGCACTATAATCTACAAAGTCTGAAGATAACAGCGTGCAGTATTTATACCAAAGAAGGTTAGATGGAAAACTGGTAATAGAAAATAGAACAATAGAAGAAGAATACAAGCACATAGTACACAGTATTAAAGAAGTAGCAGAAGAGGCAATAGGCACTCAAATACGCGCAAAACAAAAACCATATTGGTGGGATGATGAAAAAAGAAGCATACCTAACATATCTAGATAAAAAAGACGACCCTTCTAAAGAAATATATAAAAACCTAAATAAACTGGTGAAGACGGAAGTAACAAAAAGGAAAAATAGATATTGGGAAAAGAAATGCGAATACATAGAACAAATGATTGGAGGATCGAAAAGTTCAGAAGCCTGGAGAACGCTAAAATCTATGAAAACGTCAACCAACAATAAATTAGATTTAAGTAACATAACAGAAAAAGACTGGGTAGACTACTTTAAACAGTTACTACAAGAAGGACGAAAAAATTTTCAATACGAAAATGCAAACAGAGACATACGATCAGAATTCATTGAATTGAACATGACAAATATCGTAGAAGCGATCTTTTAAACTTAAAAAAGCGCCAGGCCCAGGAAACATCTCACCAGAATTTATTAAATACGGCTCAGCTAAACTGTGGGAAATGCTCAAAGATCTGTTCCAACGATGCCTGAATGGAGAAGAGACCCAGTTAGAATGGCGTGAGGCCTATATAACCCCAATATACAAAAAAGGAGTACGAAACAATGTCAGAAACTATAGAGGAATTGCTGTCATCCCCACTATAGGACGACTCTACTCGAATACGGAAACCTCATAGAAGAAGACATTCGTATGAAACAACCAGAAGAACAATGCGAATTCAGAGCTGGAAGATCGACTATAGATAATCTATTTATACTTAAAATATTAATCGAACAACGACAACAAAGAAACAAAGAAACACATATAGCCATGATAGATCTTGAAAAGGTACCTATATGATAACGTGCCGATAAATAATTTATGGAGTGAAATGCAAAACATGGAAATAAAACCTTCGTTAATAATAGCAACTCAACAGTGGTATGTAAACAACACCGCATCAATTAAAATAGGTGGCAAACTTAGTGAGAAATTCAACACAACGAAAGGGCTACGACAGGGATGTTGTTTATCACCTACGCTGTTTAAAATATATCTGGATCGATCTCTACAAAAGTGGCAAAGACAATGCAGAAATGTGGGTATACAAATAGATGAGGATATTCTCTATACACTATTCTTCGCTGATGACCAACTGGTGGTAGCAGAAGATATAGACGATCTCAGCTATATGGTTAGGAAACTACAAAGAGCGTACGAAGAATGTGGACTGACAATGAACTTACAAAAATTCGAATATCTCTCAGTGGGGAAAAATACAGTCGAAGACCTGACATTGGAGAGTGACAAAATCAAAGGAACAAATAGAGTAAAATACCTAGGAGTAGTGTTTACAAAAGACGGAAATAGCCATGAAGAAATAAATACAAGAATAAACAAAGGCAGAAACATTACCAAATGCCTAAACTCCATTCTCTGGGATAAAAAAAATCACAAGAACGACGAAAAAACGAATATATAAGACGATGGTTGAGCCGGTGGTAACATACGGAGCAGAGATATGGGACACTAGTAAAAGAAACAGGAAAAAATTACAAGCTACCGAGATGGATTTTATGAGAAAAAGCTGTAGATTGACAAGGATGGACAGAATCCGCGATGAAGAAATAAAACGTAGAATGGAGCAAGAAAAAGACATTATAGATGAAGTCCAGAAAAAAACAACTAACTTGGTTCGGTCATGTAAACAGAATGGCAGACGAGAGGTGGCAGACAAAGAAAATATTAAAATGGATCCCAACCGAAAGAAGGAAAAGAGGGCGTCCAAGAAGAAGCTGGCGAGATGACGTGAATGAAGCCATGAAAGGAAGACAGCTAAATGAAGCCGACACCCGAGATAGGAAACGATGGAAACTAGGGACAGGAAAACAACGACAGTTGTAAACAACCTGTACTATATACATGCTGATCCAAATATTTTCGGAAGGTGGGATAAGTTACAAGATATGTATAATTTTATATACCTAATGCAATTCATTACAACAAGCTATTACCGAATTTAATAAATTATTGTCATTAATTCTTTCATTACCACCAACGTCTGCCTCAAATGAACGAGATTTTTCTTGTCTCAAAAAAATCAAAACATATTGTCGAAACATCATGGAACAAGAGAGAATATCAAGCTTGTCTCAAATTTCAATACAAAAAAAAAAACTTTTAAAATCTCTCCAAAACTATAATAAATTTTACAATGAAGTTATAACCCATTTGACTACTGCCAAACAACTTAGACTAGAGTTAATTTATAAACATGTTTAGGTTCCAAATTTATACAAAAAAAAAACAAAACAAAAAACAAAAAAATCTCCTATGATTATTGAAGTCTTTATTAGACGGTATACCTATCTGCCCTATATAGCCACGAGCCGCCACTGCATTCTACAATACCGAAAATATATCTAAATATAAATGAAGCTTAAATAAATCAACAAAATCTTAAAAACGAGTATCCACTAATCATACAGCTATCTATTAATATCTTGTTTATTGGGTAGATGAAAGATATCACAGTTTTTGTTGTGTAATTGTAAAAAACATTGCCCAATGTGTTTTTTACTACGGTTATAAAAATAAGACCTCACCAGGTAAAATGAATAAATTTTCTATAAATAAACCATCGTAAAAAACTAATTAAAAATACAAAAAATATAAAGACACATGAATGGTATAAAAAATAAACTCAATAACCCAAAACGTCAAAAAATTTTACTAGTGTTTAATCAGTCGGTAATACATATAATATTTTAGAAATTAAAACTGTAAAAGATACAAGTAATAGTAAAAGTAAAAAAGTGAGGCCCGACTCTTTCCAATTACAGTATTAAACCTATTACAAAAGATATATATATATATATATATATATAATATATATATATATATATATATATTTATATATATATATATATATATATAATATATATATATATATATATATATATATACAGGCCAAACCTTCCAGAACGCTTATACCCAATAAATTCTTGGTGAATCATGCAGTTGGGCATTTCTTATACTTTGTGACAAATCGTAAAATAAAAAGGAGGTACTTAAAAGTCAATTAGTATCTAAGTAAAAAGTTTCACATTGCTTACACTAACGAAGTATTGCTAGAATAAAACGGTCGATTAGTACCGCCTCCTCAGTCGATGTATTTTATTACTTCCAACTTCGCAATGTAGAACCATGAATATCCATGTAACTGAATGCCAGATTAGCAAAGGAAAATAAATTTCGTGGGAAGCCTTTAATGAAATCCAAATATATATCAAGAAAAACAAAGTTACGGGTATATAAAACAGTAATAAGACCCATAGTAACGTATGGTAGTGAAATATGGACAATAACAAGCAAATATTAAGAAATTGAAAAGATAGGAAAGGAAAATCCAATCATATTTTAAATCCTTGAATTGGTATATCTTCATCAGTTCAACCTGTGAGGAATGCAATGATTAAAGGCACTGCTACAAAGATTTTAAAATCTGTTATTATCTGAAACAGACTTTCTTGTGACGATTATCTGCTTATCTGTATTACCTTCTTGCACTTTGCCATTATGTCGTTTTTTCAAAAATAAAATCGATTTAAAATCAGCACGTGGTATGCCTAATGATGTTTTGACGATTTTGAATCAAAAGCCAGAAAAATGTAATGAAATGTTGTCAAGTTGATGAAATTTGTGGTGTTGTTGATGAACTCGGTAAAGAAATAAAACTTCCTCGACTAGCGCAAAAACTCCGCCTGGAATGACTGTTGGGTGAATCGAGTAGCTTAACAGTCATTCTTGCCGGTCCCAAGCCCGGATAAAGGAGGAGGGTTAAGCGGAAGGCCAACAACCTGCCCTTGTAAAAAACAGCCTGTTATGAAAACTGCAAATGTGCCTCGGAATCGAACAGATACATATGTAAAACGACAATCGCAATGGACAAGGACTTTGAATGGAGACGCGCTGTCACCTCTTCTTTTTAATATAATCCTGGAAAAAGTAGTAAGAACCGCACAAATTAGAACAGAACTACTGACAGTAAATGGACCAAAATTACTACTAGCATACGCGGATGACATTGACATTGTAGGAAATACCGTCACCAATGTAAAAGAAAAATTCAATAAATTAGAGAGAGAGAGGCAAAAAATACCGGTCTAAGGGTCAATGAAGAGAAAACCAAATATATGTGCATTAACAGACAAAAGAGACGAGATAGAATAGGACAAAATGTAACAATAGACCCCTATAACTTTGAAAGAGTGGAGAGTTTTAAATATCTCGGAGCGACTATCACCACAGATAACGATATCACGGAAGAGATAAAAGGGAGAATTCAGGCAGCAAACAGATGTATGTATAGCCTCCACAACACTATTAAATCCAAGAGCCTAACACGAACATCAAAAATCAGGATATATAAAACAGTAATTAGACCGGTGCTCATGTATGGGTGTGAGACGTGGACGCTGACAAAAGCAATGGAAAGTTAACTCAGATGCTTTGAGAGAAAAATCCTCAGAAAGATCTTCGGTCCCTATCACGATCCGAATACTAACCAATACCGAATGAGAACAAATGCCGAGGTCAAACAAATGTATAGTGCTAGCGACGTAGTCCAAGAGATTAAATCCCAACGTCTAAGATGGGCTGGCCATGTTCATAGGCTCCCTAATAACCGCCTTACCAAGTTAATCTGGGAAGAAGTCCCGACAGGGAGAAGGCCCTTAGGACGTCCACGAATGCGATGGAGAGATAATATATGGTCAGATTTGAGAACAATGGGGCTACCCACTGACTTAAACATCATGGACGACCGTTCGAGATGGAAGCAGGTTGAGCAGTCAGCCAAGACCCACCCCGGGTTGTAGTGCTACCAGAAGAAGAAGAAGACTAGCGCAAAAACAGCAAAATCGAGTAAATTGTATATGTGAAAATTCTCAAGACTATTTTAGACTATCTATATACATTCCGATAATAATGATAAAATTATCAACGATTTAAAATTTCGCAATCCTAAAGAAACTTTAAATTTATGGTTTCTTAATTTTAGTTTCTGTGTTATTAGAAAAATTTGACAATGAGTCAATACCAAATGCTACTCATATTGTTGCTGATAAAATATTGTGTTTTTTCAATAAAAATTCAACTTCTGTATTAGGAGAAACATTATTAGAGCTTTTCGTACCAGCTAATATTATACAAGTGAATCAGCGTACCAGCGAAAAAATAAAAAAATAAACATTTTTTTACAGTTTACTTTTCTTTTTAGACAGTATCTCACTAACCAATAACAACACATAAAACATTTAAACGATAAACTAGCACACCTGACGAGATGGGTAAATAATTTACATTGATAATAAAAATTAACAAAAAAATGTGTGTAAATTAAAAAAAGCGGTACCATAATATAAAATGCAACTTGCTTTTAATTATCGAGACCGCAGCAAGTGAGTGACCTCAAAAAAGACGCCGAGTCAAGATGACTGCCCTTGACCTTTAATACAATTCGTACTGTGCGGAAATGATTATAGGTTGAAATACAATAACCAATTAACTAAATGCACCAGAAGGAACTGGTATTGCAATTTTGGTTCATTGTAATAAAAATAATGACAGTTACTTATTGTTAAAAAAATTGGTTGACTGTAACGTGTACAATTGTTAAATTTTGCGAATTTTTTTTCATTTTAATGGATATAGTGATTGAAATGTTGTAAGTTGAGGGTATGGACTTGGAAGATGTACTTAAAAGACTGTATCTCTGTATCATCATCATGCAACCTCTTCTGCCCACTGCTGGACATAGGTTTCTAAATTTTTTCGCCACTCTTTACGGTTATGTTGCCATTTCTTGGACGTTCGTTTAATGTCGTCCATCCAGCTTGTTGGTGGTCGTCCTCTGCTGCGTTTGTCTTCTCTTGGGCGCCGGTCAATTAGTTTTCTGGTTCATCCTAAGTCTTTTAGTCTCGCTATTTGACTTGCCCAATTCCATTTCAATTTGGCTATACTGGTGTCATACATTATACCTACATATATGGTACATACATTCTCTGGTGGTGTCATGGTTTATACGTATTGTGGCGTTTTGGTAATGCTGTCTAATTCCACGGTATCGAAGGCTTTGTGAAAGTCTACGAAGATAAGTACCAGTGATCTGTTATAATCTATCGATTTTTTATTAAGGTTTTCACTGTTTGTAGGTAATTGTTTGTTCCGAATTTTAAGCGGAAGCCAACCTGGTTTTTGTTGCTGGTAGAAATCCAACTTTTTTTCTCGTCTGGTCATTATTATTCGGATAAACATTTCATAGATGTGGATCAATAAGCTGGTTGGTCTATAGTTTTCTAGGTGCGCCTTGTCTCCATTCTTGTGTAGTAAAATTGTTACTGCAATTAAAATTGTTACTTGTATTTCGCTTAGTGTGATCTATGGTATGAGCTCTGAACCCTGGTTGAAGATTTTGCGTGATGCAGCGGCTTCCAAGTTCGTTTGGTCTTCTCTTTGACTTGTGTATAGTTCTTGATATAAGTCTTCAACTATGTGTAGTAGTTCTTGGCTATTTGATATGGGAACCCCTTCTTTATTCTTTAGTTTGTGTATTTCACATTTTCCATTGTTTAGCCATCTTCTCAGGACTTTCAGACTTTTATTCTCTTCTATAGTTCGGTGGACAGTTTTTTTAGTCAATGCTTTCATTTCCTTTGATTTCTCTTCTAGTTTCCATTAGTTGTTTTGTTTCAATAGTTATTTTTTCGTCTTGGCGTCTTTTAGGGCAGCATTTTACTTAAGCCTCCCGAATAGCTTCTACGATATTTTCGTTTAGGGTATTTGCATTATTTATGCATTTATTTTGCTGTAGGATTTTATTAATATTGTCTTGGTATTCATTATCTTGGTTATTCTGTATCTCTGTATCGCGATGGTTATTTAAGCAAAATATTGTGCTTATTGCGAAGTTCTTGTAATGCTTATAAACCTGCATTTAATAATGAATATTCTAAAAGAAATCCAAAAAAATAAAAGTTCATTAAAATACCTTAATTGATATAAACACATTATTAGAAATTGCTCGATCAATGAGATTGTTTTGGTAGGTCATTGTTGTCTGAAATATTCGACACTTCGTTGTGTTTTATAATCTTTTTGACCATAAAATGTATTTTGCTAAAATCAACTCCATCTCTAATTAAATTGTCATCCCACAGCACTGATTTTTTACTGCTTTGCGACTCGGAATATCTGCCAATTTGAAATCCACGTAAATGTTATATTTGTGGTTAAAATGGTAGTGTGCCGTTAGGGATTTTATTTTGGTAGTTTTGGGAAATACAGTTCCCAAAACCCAATTTACAAAACATTCGCAGAAATTCACGTCATGATGGAAGTTCTTTGTTGTACACGACGCGATGTTGAAAACAGAATTTAACTAAACTAACGAAACTAAAAACCTTATATAAATAATACAAATGAAGATGGAATATACATAATATTCTTTAAAAATATTAAATGGCTGTTATTTATGTAGATAATAAAAACAAATCACAATTTTAATTAAAAATTTTTATACGGGGTAGAATCCTGTCATCGAACTGTTAATGTCAACTCAAATTTAAATTAAATTTTAGTTTTATTCTTATTAGATATAGTAATTAATATAAAAATGTCGCAGAAAATAATATGGCCATTATTTTCTGAAAGCAAGCAAGGATAAATTTAAGGTAATGACCATAATTATGAAATGTGCACGTAAAACAGAAACGAAATCACTTAAATTGAATGTGTTTATCAAATTTGGGCAAATGAGCTTATTCATACGTAAAGTATATGCGCAAAATATGCACTTCTTTTGTCAATAATATGCAATAAAAATTTATTTCTTCAAATATATATTCATTAAAAATTCAACATAACACACTAAGAATTTTAAAGTATATTTATCAGTGGCTTCCCACAATCGGCGATTCTACAGATCATCGCGGACAGCCGATCAGCACGGACGAGAACGCACCGCAGACAGAGCTCTTCCTACGGTCCGTGACAGTCTGTGTAGGTCCGTGACAGTATTGTTTGATTATATCATAAAAAGGCCACTCAGGCTTGTAAACGTTATATTCGGCAATAAATTAAAGTACTATTCTTCAATTGATTTTTTATTTGGTTCCATACATCGTATATATCGGTTCCGCTTCTTATGCTCTGGTGCCGTAGAATTCCATAAATTTGTTTCATTTTGATATAAATTTAAAAAATCAAAAATAACTTCGTTTGTCCATTCCATTTTTTAGCAAAAAACTGCAAAACAACTTTGACAACACTACAGACAACTACTCGTAGCAGCGAATGAAAAACTTCTGACTTGCACTTGTCGTCTGTTAAAACACAGACGCGCTAGGATCGCGTCGCACGAGCATGTACCGCACCTTTGATGTTACCGACTCTAGATGGATAGGACGGACCAGCACAGACGTGCCTGCGCTACCACGGACGAGACCCTTCCCACGGTGCGTGGTGCGTGCTGGTCCGCTTACGTCCGTAATATCGCCGACCGTGGGAAGCCGCTATA